ATATATAATGAAACATAAGAGAGATTTATCAACGAATTGTGAAAGAGAGGATGTGACAGGAGGGGTCTGATTTTCTATTAGATAGGTCTGTAACTAAACAAAATTAAAGGCTATAAAAATTATGGTTTGTCTGAGCAATAACAATATTATAGAGAATATTTTGCGTTTAATTTTGTATTTCTTCGAGGGGTAGTGGATAAAATATAGATGATGACATGCTAAGAGAAAATGTGTGACATGGGTCACATTAGTGGAAATTCAGGATTTTTTTAAATATTGCCTTGTCGAATTAAGAACTTAAAACTTGTATACTATTAAGATATGGATTATTAGTTGAGATTTTATGCTATTCTAATTGGTATAACAAAAAGTAGTTTAATAAACTTTTGAATATAACACACACACTGCCATGTCTAAAGCACACCACTCCTCCTTTCTGGCTTTTCACAATCCACCTAGTGTGCAGGCCTAGTGATTTGATCTTTGTGTTCACAAATTCTCACCTGTTACGAGATGATGCACCAGGGATAGAATACAACTTGTTTAGTGTCTTTCTGAATGGATGTGGTTTCCCAAGCTGATCCATAATTTCTTTTCTCTCTGAACACTTTTATGATTTGAAAGCATGAATATTTTGCATCAGAAAGACTGTTACATACCCTTCCCAAAAGTGATTAAATGTCGTATGAAACATAAAATGATGTCAATATGTGATCTTGATATATTTCATTCCACCACAACTTTATTAATGGCTGTGGTTTTCACGTGACTTGTTATATAGCATATTCAAAATTGTTTTAATACAATAAGCTGTAGTAGATAATGGTTTTACATCTAAATGGTTTGACCTACTTTTACACAACTTATATTTCAGGTATTTCTGTGACCAATATATCTAAGGGATAAACTTACGGTTTTGTCCAAGCTCATTAACAATAAATTCCAACTTTTCCCATTCTGTGCTATTTTTAGGAGGAGCTTTCTTCATTGGAATGAAGGCTCTGATTGATAAAACAAAAATATCAATTACGTTCTAAAAAACATTAAGAAACATATCAAATTAATGTGTACAATGTAACTAAAATGGCTATACCTTATTATTTAACTTAGTATAAAGGAAAATAAAAAATAATTAGCATCAACATTTTTGATTAATAATACAATGCTCAGTTTACTTGTTTTTTAGTGAAAAGTTAATAATGGGATATCTGTGCTCTGTCCACTGCAGGAAATCAAACTTCAGATTTTAGGGTTGTAAGTCAGCAAATTTACCACTGACCTATCAAAAGGTCTACTATGCATAGAGCTAATGCTGTACTTACTACACATGTATTAATAAACATTACCACCAGTCTACCACATGAAATAAGAATATATTATGCTTATCATAAGACAGGACATGCAACTTCCTCAATTCGTAAAAGTCAGTTCTTGTGCAAAAAAATTTAAATAAAATTAATCAAATAAGATATTTGCACAAAAATTTATTTGTAAAGTTTAAAAATATAAGTTAAAAAAACTTTAAAAACTAAAAGTTTCAGTGAAAATAATTCCACCATCTTTAGGAAAATATACCATGAAGTATACATGAAGTTTCTTATAAACAGATGAACGTGTATAATTAGCATGTTTTTACAGTGGCATCATTACAACATTACATAGAAGACAACTTAATTAACTAAATTTTTTAACGAAATGCATGAAGAACTGTGTTGTGCCAAGTAGTATTAAAGTAAAATGTAAATTAAAAAGCAATAGGGTAATAGTTATTATAAAACAAACTCAGTTTAAAATTCTTAGAAGTATTATCAAGGAAAAGAAGAGTGAAATTGCAGAAACTGAGGCTAGACTATACTATGTACATTTAAAATTAGATTGGAATATACAGTGTTTAGTATGGGATAAGTTTGAAGCATCTTGTTGGTGGAAGTGGAAAAAGGTAAGATTGAAACATAAGAATAATTTGAGTAAGAAATTGAGTAACTTAATCAAGAAAGATAAACACTTAAAAAAAAGAATTTAAAAATGAATAATATGGTACTAAATGATAAGTACACTAAATTGCTAAACAACCCCAAAACAATAACTATGTCAAAGGGAAATATTACAAATTAAAACTGTTGAGCTAGGTTGGAATTTTTCTGTAGATAACAGTAGGTCAGTGAAAGACAATTTAATAGTGGCAGTAGAAACTAGTTTAAAAAACTGAAAGTTGATGATAATTTTGTAAAAGATACTGTTCAAACAGCATTGGCAAAAATTTTAACTTCAGATACTGGAAAAACTAAAAGAAACTTGTATAATCATGAAGTCAACGAACTTCATACAATTAAAGATAATACGAAAATTGTTATTTCTAAAGCAGATAAAGGAGGACAAATTATCATATTAGATAAAAGTGTTTATAATGATAACATTAAAAAAATCTTTTAAATAACGGTTCTTATATTGAAATAAAAAATGACCCTACAAATGTAATACATAATAAAGTAAAAATAGAAATCTTGTATCATCTCAGTTTAATTTACCTTAGTTTTATGCACTCCTTAAAGTACATAAAATCGGGGTACCATTCCACCAAATTGTTGATAACAGAGGGTTGTCAACACATTTGGTGGCCAAGTTTCTTGTTAAAAAATGTTTGTTTTTAACAAATTTGCATAGATACACAATTAAAAATTTGTCAGAGTTGTAAAAAATATTAAGAATATGCACATAGTAGAAAGTGATAGACTAGTTTCTTTTGATGTAGTATCATTATTTACAAATATACCCGAAGAAGAAGTATTAAGTTGTTTTGAATATAGATTACTAGTTAGTAAGATTTTTTTCATGGTTAGATGTACATGATAATATAAATTTAACAAGGTTGTGTGTAAGTAATAGTTATTTTAAGGTAGGAAGTAACATGTACAAACAGAATAAAGGTTTGTCTATTGGGTCATCACTATCACTTTTTTTTTAGTGGACATTTTCACGTTTGTGTGCTAAAAACATCGGTGAAAAAAACCCGAGGTGTGAGTAAGTTATGTGGATGACACGTATATGGTGTGACAACATGGTAATGACATGTTAATTGAGTTCCAGAAGCATCCGAATTCAAATAGCCCCACTATACAATTCACCTTAGAAGTTGAAAATGAAGGTTGTTTAAATTTTTAGATATTTCTGTAAAAAGAGGGAGGCTTTCTGTCTACTTCCGTATACAAGAAGCCATTCTCAGTAGCCATGCCATCATATATAAGATTGTGTCACCCATGGTCACAAAAAATGTCCTCATTTTAGTCTTTTGTTTATAGGGCTATTAATGTCTCCTCCTATGATGAGGATTTGATATTAGAATTAATGTATTTAAAAAAGGTAGCAATTGATAGAGGTTATCAAACTTAAAATTATATACAGGATGTATAGTAAATACTGTAACAAACTTCAAATTTCTGGAGGTATTAAATTACAGATAAAAAAAAAGGAAGGTAGAGAATGGATATGTTTTCCTACGTTTCACCATTTTAAAAAAATGTAGGTAATGTGTTTTAGGCAAAATAGGAATTGCTAAGTAACATTTACTCCTCAATTAAAATTAAGTTATATATAATTAATGGTTTGAAAGATAAAATTTAATCAAGGGATAAATGTGGTATATACAAAATTTCATGTATTTATGGTCTTAATTATATTGGAAATACACTTAAGTAGGAACTTAAAATTTAGAATAAAAGAACATCAAAATGTGGTGGATAAAATAAAAAATGGGTGAATTGGCTTTGGCAAAACATGGTAAATTCTACACGTAATTAACTGGGATAATGTTAAAATACTTAAACAGGTAACAGAAAAAGATGAACTAAACATAAGAGAACCCTTAGAGAATGTTGAAGTCTCAATAAAAGTTAACCCTAATCTTTGGTGGGGTTATTGTTAGTATTTTAATGAATTGTTATTCATCTTGACTAAATAATAAAATGTACAAAAAATAAAATGACCTATAATTATTATAATTTAACTGGCTTTTTACCTAAGCTATAAGTGTATTAAAATATTTTCCTTACTTGGTCGAGGTGAACTTGGCAATAGCAACTTTGAATTTGTAGGCCAAATAATTAAAAATCTGTTGTCAGAACAAGCTAGCATATTACATAATTCAGTAAATTAAAATCTTCTCTTACCATTGATTATAAATAATATGTTATCAAACGTCAGAAAGAATTACTGACATCTTTAAAGACAGTACGTAATAGCAGGCCATGACATGCAAGTTTAAATTTCTGGTTTATATCTAGAAATGACTGGAGGATATAAAATTAAATTATTTCTTGGTAATATCTATATTATGAGTTTGTAACTTCTATTAAAACTCGGAAGCTCAAATATGGGATAATTCATGGCAAACAAATTTCATGTGGTAAAGAAAAGTGAAGTTTGAGAACTTCCTTTAAAATTAAAATTTGTATATTACAATTTTATTTATTAGCTATGTTTTGATGCCAAGTTTTTTTATTGACACACATCAATAATAAAGTTATTTAATTGCATTTTGAATGTAACTCAGTAAAAAGGTCATGAAATGCTCACTTCTGTCTACCCATATCCAGAGGGATAAAGCCCCAAGTGAAGTTTCAATAAAGAGTACTTGCATGGTGGTCAAACTTCTAAAATGTTAAACACTCCTTTATGAACAACTTTTATATAAATGTATTTTCTTATACAGATTGCTAGAAACTGTTATTCTTACCCAATTAGTAATAGCACTGCTCCAACCAAAAGAAAGACAATAGTGTACTTCAAGGCTGTGCAAAGTCGCTGAAATAGTTCATGTTACACAAGAGTTTATGTATGTACAAATCACAGTTTTCATTGATCAAATCACATGAGAAGATGATTAACCAGGTATGGTCACTACATGATATTTTCTTCTAGAAACTTTTAATTTTTTTTAATATCTCTAATTTGCTTGCACAAAGGTAATAAATTTAGTGCACTAGTGTTTTACTGTAAAATAAATAACCTCTGAGAGACATATAAATGCATTACCACAAACTTTGTAGCATTTGACAAACTGGGAAGTATTATATTGAATATTAAAAATATTAAAAGGAGAACTGAAAATTTAGTGACCAAAAGTCAATATCATAGTATAATTAAGTAATATCTCATTGAAATTGTTACATATTACAATTTCGATTGGTCTGAAATCAAGTTAAATGATACTTTAAATTTAGTAGTTCAATTGTACTTTGGATTTAGCAGTTAAGTAAAAGCCGATATACAGTCAGTTTATGATCCAGTCAGATCTAACTCCATTTATTACTATTCTCTGCTGTCTACTCTCCAGCCAATTTTGTATCCAATTTAATAACATTTCTCCCATACCCACAGATTTAATTTTTGTAACATGTCTTTTGTGAGGCACCTTATCAAATGCATTCTGAAAATCAAGATACACCGAATCCACAGTATTTCCTTCATCAACTCTTGTAGTAACATCTTCAAATAATGTCAGAAGATTTGTTAAACAAAACTTTTCCTTAGTGAAACCATGCTGGCTCTTTGACACTGTATCAAACTGCTTTAAGTGACTCTGCAATACATCTTTAATCACACTCTCAAAAACCTTTCCAAGTACTGATGTAAGACTAACTAGCCTATAATTGCCTGGACAAGGTTTATCACCTCCTTTAATTATTGGACCAACATTAGCCAACTTCGATTCTTCTAATACTCTTCCACTACTCAATGACCTATAAAGTAAAATCTTTTAAGTTCCTTTAAAACTCTATGATAAGAGTTGTCTGGTCCAGGGGATTTATCAATTTTGAGGTTTCCCAACTTTTCTCTTACAATTTCAGAACATGATATCTTTTACATCAATATTTTTCCCATGCATTAAGTGCTCTGGTTGAGGCATAATACTTGTATCTTCCTTTGTAAAAACTGAAGAGAACATATAATTTAATAAGTTTACCATTTCCTAATCTTCCGAGATCAGCTTCCCACTATCATTTTTAAGAGGCCCAATCCCCATCCTAACATTTTGCTTATCCAACATATACCAAAATAATTCTTTATTGTTTGATTTAACTCTCTCAGCAAACCCTCTTTCATATACAGTTTTTGCCCTTTTAACTTCCAGCTCTCTTGATTTCCTATAGTCCTCCAAGGGTGTTGGCTGTAGTGTGCAAAAAATATTTTTACATGTGTAAATAAGATTATAATAAGTCATTTTAGCACTTTTGGCCACTCTTTCTGTAAAATAATTTCACACAGATTAAACTGTGAATATTTTGACTTTTCATAGTATTATTCCTCAAAATTAAGGAGAAAAAAAAAAGAATCTACTACTGAAAAAAAGCAAAAAAGCCAGACTTCCATCACCATTTACTATAATTTCAAATTCACAGTTTTTGCCAGAAGAATATCTTCATACTGTTCTTCATGAACTTCACAATATCCATGATATACAACTGGAAAAGGGATTGAAATATACAGATCAAATGTCAAGAAACCTATGTGAAATTAAATAATAAGGCAAAATAATATAGTACTATGAATATAAAAGGTGAATTTGTGCTATTTAATAAATGCTTTCATGTATTTGGCTTTGTTTTATTCTATTACGTTCTATGATACATGAAACGAATTTCTTCTATGATACCTCTGAATGACTATTTTATTACTGCACTTGTCTAGATCTTTATGTTATTTTCTTGTTTCTTAGTTATTATTTATCTCTTAGTTATTATTTTTTATGTTTTTAAATGTATTTATATTCATTTTTATTTTATCCACAAGGATTTTAACCTTGACTAAGAGAATTTTCTACTGCTGATTTGAATTTGTTAGCCAAAGCCGAGTTTGATGTAGAAGATCCAAGTCAGTTGTAACATGTACTCAGATATCAAGAAATACTACCAGATATGATTCTAAAGGTATCTTTAGGAGAAAGGAAAACAGAAAATGTAACAAGAATTAAAAACCAGAGATGGGCAATTAGTGGAATTTGATAATCAATTAAACATTGGGCTCACTAACTAATTACCTTCAACTAATTGATTATTCTCCCGAGACTTGGATAGTCGAAATAATCGAAAATACCAATAACTTATAACACTCATTTCATTTAGTTCATTATTTTCATGAGTAGTGACACTAATTGATTAAGCTGAAAAACCCTGAATTAATACAAAATAATAATGAAAAACCATAATGACAATATTTTGATCACTTGTATAGCTGGAATAATCAGAAACAGAATTAATGCAAACACTTATTTTGATTATTTCCATGAATTAATTGATATAACAGGTTTCCTGACCTTTTGACCCACTGTTTTAATCCCTCCTCAAATTGTATTTCTTAGAAATTGTGATTCATCATGAAGTATTGTATGAAGATATTTTTTTGTCAAAATCTAGGTTGAACATTTCAATCTGCCCTCTGGCAATTCTTAGAAGTAGGTTAATTTTTTCAAAAAAAATAGTGCTGTTAAAAGTCAAATTCTAAAAATGACTTGCTGTAATCCTCTTATTTGCATATGCAAAAATATCTTTGACACAACATCCACTTTTCTGGACAAAATGTAAATGTCTCCATTTTGTTTCTGTTGACTGCAATGTTTTGAAACTGGTGACAAAAACATTCCACTTCTATGTATTTCAATATTACTACTTGAATACTAACTCTGATAACGACTTTTAACACTTATCTTACCAGTTCTCCTTTTGATTGTTGGCTGTTAATTAAATTAAAATTTGGATAGATTACTAGAGAAAAACATCATTTTGATAAAAAAAAAGAACAATTTTGTTTAGAAAGTAAGACAGAAATTTTCAAATGTTAAAAAATCTAAACTAAATAAGTTACAAAAGTTAACATTTTTCTAAACTGAAAACGTATTTCCAATAGATACCTCCTATCAAAAAAAGATTTCTCAAATTATATTGCTGCCCTCTATTGGTGCAAATGTTCACTTGCCACTATCCTTAATACTCCCACTTATTTCTGCATACTAATGTGCAAATGACTGCAGCAACCCTCCACCAAGAGGACTGCAACACTACCTCAATCGTAACTAACACCCTTTCTTATCTTGCACATGTTAACCACATCAAGATTGGTCAGCTCAAACCAAACCCCATTGGAAGTGGGGAGAATGGTTGGGATATGTAAGCCAAAGTAAATATCTATCAGAAATACATTTTCAGTTTAGGAAAATGTTAACTTCTGATACAATATTTTAACTCTGCTCACAAAAACCTTGAATCTCACATTGAGCTGATGGAGGGCTGCTGAGTAGATGATTCACCCTTTAGGAAGCACCCATAGGAAAATCATGGGGTGTGAATACGAATTAAAAACAACACACCCATGGGAGACTGCATCACTTATGATCCAGGTATAACTCTTTGCCCTTTAGAATTGTGTTGCCAAAAAGGGGGGCAACATAGAGACCCCCAAGAGAAAATTACCGAAATAATGACTCCCTGGTGTAAAGTGGCTAGGGTGCGACAGACTGTAAATGGAAGTTCAACCTCAACCAACACCTACAGTATCTGGATTTGTACACCAGGTCCATGGTAGGAAGAGAGGCCTCTACCTTTCATTTCAAAAATGGGTACCAGCATGAGGAACATCTGAGGGATCCAGAACAAGGCTCCGTCGGTCTATCAAAACCCACTGACAATGATGCACGAGGGAGTGACCAAGAGGAATGAGGGCTTTCTTGAGAAACCCAAGTCCTCAAAAGAGTGAGAGCCTTTCATGCAGTAGGGGAAGGAGAGGATGATATGCTGGATATGAAACATTTCTTAGTTCGCAACTGAAGTGGAGCAGGTAAGGCCCAACAGAGAAGGGAGTTTAAAAAAACACCCCAAGATGAACCAAAAAATTGTGTGGGTGTGAGAAAAAAAAAATTGCTCCATTTTGACAAGCCAACCCACTGGAAAAAAAAACAACTGAGAATGTAGGACTGAGTGATTTTGTATGGAGGCAAGAAACAGCCATAGGTACATAGAACGATGGAAACAAAGGCCCCTGGAATGAATCAGCCAGGCAAAAAACAGGATCCCAAGGGGAAGGGAACAGGATTTTGAGACAAATAGGGGAGATGAATGGAAGTAGAGGACCATACTTACTGAAATGAATTGCAGAACCTATGAAATGACTGCCAAATGTGGGCAAATTGAAGGAGTCTGGCCCCCACCAGCCCCGACTCAAAAAAATGGTGGTCAGAGTAAGACATAAATAAGAAAATATAATCGAATTATCGGGGGGCTGATCCCCACTAAGGGAAAAGCAACATCAAATGCCACGAATCCAATTAAGGGAAGTAGGAACAATGATAATCAAAAGCATGATTTTCCACAGTTAGTGGGGGTTAAGGTATACCAACCCCCAAATGCAAATGCTCACCAAAACGACTTGCATGAACCCCAAAATCCAGGGAAGAAGGAAACACTAAGTAATGAGCCAAAGGCTAGTCCCCAAGAAGGGCAGTGGTGGAACATAGGAAACTGGGGGTTAAAGACAGAGCATAACATACCTGAATAATCAAATTCACCAATGGGAAAAAGAGGTCTGGGGAAGTCTCCTGAAGCAACTCATTACTAAGAGGCCTCTTGAAAAGGGATGAAAAATGCTGTCCAAATCCAAAACTTCCAAATTACTGAAAACCATGGTAAAACAATCATCAATATGTTCTAATTATTGTATGAAATAAGTGGAAGCATCAAGGCTAGTTGCGAGCAAAATTTTGCACTGACAAAGGACAGTATAAATCGAGAAAGCTTTTTGTGAGTAGAGGAAGATATCATATTGGAATGTACACTATTTACTGTTTAAAGAATAAAACCTTTCACCAAATCTAAAGTTCTAATTGTAATTCTAAGTCATTGTTGGGAAAGTGGACTGAAAACAAGTGCTTAACAAGGAAAGTACTACTTATAAGATTAACCTTAAAACCTTTGCTATTGTTATTATAAACTGAATTACAGAAACAAAAAATCAAAATTTATCATTTGTCTAGTTAGAGCATTTTAAAACACACAATTTTCAAAATGCTTACAGAACCAACGTGATTTTCACCATCATCTTTCTCTTCAAAGAAGAAGTAGATGAAAGGCAGAAGAAAGAAAGCAAAAAACACCACTATACTGTATAAGGCTGAAAAGAAAAGAAACAATACAATAGTTTAATAATTTGCAATACACTTCAATAATAAATGTTGTGTGTGTGTGTGTGTGTGTGTGTGTGTGTGTGTGTGTGTGTGT